CTTAAATGGACAGTTCTATGTGGCCTCCTCCAGAGTGAGCTCACCAAGCAGCCTGGTGATCTTAGCACTTGAGGGCAGAACCTCAATGTGGTCTACAGAGAGGTCCTTCGGTAGAGGGAAAAAAAGTAAGTATGTCTCACTTCATCTACAGTCTTCTCCATTAGAATTCCTACAACAAATGTTACCTTTCAAACTTCACATCATCAGTATTATAACTGGATTTATGGAACTTAAAGACTGTAGTGAAGCACTAGTATCAGGCTAGTTTATATATAGAGATGTAAGCCCCCCTGAGCCGGCTTTGGCTTGGAGGGCAGGGTATAAATCTGATAAATAAATAAATAATTTTCCTAGCGCTCTCCAATAACACTATTAAATATGAAATGGCTATAGATAAGTGACAATAAATTATTATAGTGCTATAGCACAACATCAGTGTACAGGTAGTATCCCTCCAATTATCTTGCTGCTTCCCCACCTCATTCCTTTCCAGCGAATCTGGTCAAAAACTGCCTACATATATCTGCTTATATGTCCACAGCAAAAACTTCATTTAAAAAAAAATCGAAACTGGACATGCAAAAGAACTGAAATCTGAAATGGAAATAGCCATGTGGCAGTAAATCTCTTAGCACAATAGCATTAATCCGTTTTTCTTAAAGATCTCTGATGGCACAGCAGGAAAATATGATAGAAAAACGGAATCTGTGAAGGGCAGACTGCAGACAAATAGCACCAATGTCAAGAGGACCTTTGCAGCAGGAAAATGTGCACATGACATGCTAATGTGTTTTGACTTCATTGTTTCTCAAAAGATCAGAGTAAAGCAGTATGGAAAAGAGTACAAATAGAGAATGGTGTTGTGTGAGTAGTCCCCCTCCCACTCCAAAAGTTACTCCAGGCAGAAAAGAATAAGGTTTCTTACTCTGGGGACCAAATAAAAATGCACTGGGATTGGTAGTCTGTGTACAAAGATCCCAGCTGTTTTTAAAACTCAAATCTGGGGTGTGTGAGGGCACAATTCAGATAGGGACAAGTCTTTTCCTGACTTGAAATGGTCTTTGCCTGGGGGAGTTTAAACTCTCCTCTTCTATGCCAGATTCCTAATATGAACATGGAACTCACAGCACACGTCTGGTTCAGTGGGTAGGGAGATTCAAAGTGATGTTGTGAAAGCCTGTTCAGTGTAGTGGTTGGTGTGTTGCATTACGACTAGAGAACCCTGGGCTCACATCCCACAAACGTTCTTCACGGGGTTGATATGAGGATAAAATGGGGGAACTGTATGGGCCTATCTGAGCTTTATGATGGAGAGGTAGGATAAAAATGTGATACTTTCAATATGAGGTAAATCCTATTTCATATTGGGAAAATGTGTCAGCAAATGGTAATATGTTTGCTTTCCCATATGATCACCTTCTTTGGGGAATTTGTAAATCTGTCAAGATGTTTTAAAAAATCAAATAGATTTTAAACATCAGCTGGCAAAAAAGTTTTCACTTTATGTAACCTGCTTCAATATGTCACAAAGAGGGAAATTAAAAAGCTGGATTCACAAAGCTTGGTTTCTTCTGGACTTTCCATTTTTCAAAGACATCTTTGTTCCTCGAAAGGGAACGATGTGGTGTGGGCTGTCTCATCCAAGCTTGTGGAGAGAGGAACAATCCATGGCAATTTCATCCTCTCTGGTCAATGTTACAACAGCGAGAAATATTTGGAGCATTTCTTCCTCCCAGAATAGCAGAGTGGGATTTTTGCATAGCCTGAACACCACTTTACTTTGTGTGAGCACAACATTATCCTTTGTAAGAGAATTCATGATCTGCAAAATCAGGCTCAAAAATTTTGCCCAGTTAAAGCCTGGCATATATTGTCACTGTCAACCCAACAGAATTAACCTGCCTTAAACTGGGAAAGCAGTATAATAATGTTTCTTAATTTGACCATCCAATTAGCAGTATGCAGAAAAGGTGCTATCGTCTCCAGTGACTCAGCATCCAGCAAACCCAACAAAACAGGTGTGAAACAATAAGGAAACATGCACATCAAAAATGTTGCTTTAAAAAAAGACTAAAGCATTGTCTAGTCACACTTGGAGATGTACACAAACTTTTTGTAGGCTTTGGAATGGGTTCATTTTTTTTTCCTGTTGGAGAACAAGCATGGTGTAGTGGTTA